CTCTTAACTCAAGCTAGCTGGAGGGACGCTAAAATGACACAAAAAAACTTCGAGACACTTAAACTTATTTTTGGGTCGTAGATTACGGCTCTGTATACCGTTTATGAATAACGTTCGAATCTATACTAATTTTGGATAAAAAAAAATTAGACCGCGATTTTTCTAAAATAAAATTCTAAATAAATTTCATTTATTAAGAGAAAGACACTAGTACAATAAGATCATAGATATTTTCTAGTACAAAACAACTAAAAATAAAATGTATATCACATTATACATACATACATACATATGTAGCAGAGATCAACACAGATGACTAAATGAAAGTTAAACATTTAGAAAGCAAAACCCCGATTCAAAAATTAAAAAAGTAAATAACGCATATGTAAATATTTAGTTCTGAGAAAGTACAGATAAATAGCGTTCTTTTATTTAACCCACTTCGAATAGAGGTAGGCATGGAATTCCAGATACGAATAGCATTGACAAATTAAAATATAGTCGTAAAAATACTTTTTTTGCTACATACATTTTTTAATACACAGAAGTAGTATGCATTTATCAGTCGTTGATATAAAACGATATAAGCTTACAGTGAATTGTTCGTGGAGACCCGTTATAAAAATGCATATACATACATGAGTAATGTGACCAACCGTACTTCTTTCGGAAGTACAGTACTTCTTTTTTCGCTCTTGCACTTCGTACTTCGAATGTACTTCTTTTCGATATTTTGTACTTCTGGAGGGAAATTCTATAACCAGTTAGCGACAACTTTCGGATCGCTATCGCACTTTTTTACGCATCATATATATGCTTTTGCGTCAAAGAGTGCGATAGGGATTCGAAAATTGTCGCTAACTGATTACAGAACTTCCCCCATGTCCTTTTTAAACCATTAAAGTCGTCGGGGACCATACCTGCGCAGCTGCAAAGGGCTCTGAAGGTGACGTACAATTGATTGGATCCTATTTATGCGAACAGCGTGAGGACCGGGTACATCCCCATGGCTTGAGGGGTAGTCAGTGTTGCGTTCATCCCGAAGGCCGGAAAAGGCTCTCATGTTTAGCGTAGAGATTTTAGGCCTATCAGTCTCTTCGGGTTTGATAAAAACGCTAGAGAAACCTTTACCTGTACATAAGAAACGCGATTCCTCGTGACTGTCAGTCAAGGGCTTTATATATGCTTCCCAGCAAACACAGTCTCTAACGTTAGAGAAATTTGGATTTCTACATTAGATAACTATGGTATTTCTCTAATCGTTCTCGAGTCGATGACGAAGTTAGAGAACTACATTAGAATTCGATTCGAGAACGATTATATTATTTTATTGCAAATACATTTAATAAAAATTTTACAAACAAAGCGTTTTATTTAATAAAGCAAATAGCAGTTTGAAATTCAAATTCGAGTCCCATTAGAGATCAACATTAGAATTCGATTAGAGAATTTATATTTTCTCGAGTCGAGAACTATGTCCCATTTTTGTTGAGATTGCTATGATTCTCGATAGTTTTTCGAGTCGATCTCAAACGTTTGAGATTGGAGAATGTGGCTAGTTCTCCAATCATTATCTAATCGATAACTAACCTCAATATTTGCTGGGTTATTGCAAGAAAAGGTCGGTGAATACCGCCCTGCACACACTGGTAAGGTGGTCAGAGGAAGCCTTCACACATGCAGACTATGCAGTAGGGGTCTTCTTCGATATCGAGGGGGCCTTCAACAATGTCACTTGAGAAGCAATAGTCAAGTATATTAAATAATCTGGGGGTTGACACGAACCTAGTAAGGTATTCTCTCTCCCCTGCTCTGGATTGCGGTTGTAAACGACCTTCTAGAGGAACTGGAAAAGTGGGCTGTCGGGTGATCGCCTAAAAAGGAAAATAAGACGTTTCAGTGCTGCAGCAAATGTTTTAATAGGGCACTTTAAAACACGTTACCTCTCAAGGGCTGTTGCGATTGGTATTCATGCGTTGAGACTACGAATTTCAATAAATGCTTTTGTATCACCTGTCTCTTTTAGACTGTCCGACCTTCGCTAGGCTAAGTGGAGGCATGTCGGCTCGCACTACTGAAGAAACACTGAGCTCTCACAGATCGATATTAGCCGCATTCGAAATTTCGAATCAGCTCGCGGCGTTAACTTAACCTAGCTAAGCTGTACTTGTTTGAGCTATGAAATAGTTGGTCACATTACTCATACGTACGGTGACCATCCGTTCTGTTTTTTGCAGGACCGTACTGTTTTTCAAAGGTCGGTCCTGCGTAGTTTTTCAAACCTGAAAAACCTGAAAATGTACTGATTTTTTCCAAGTGTCCTGCATTTGTCCCGCATTTTATTCGTTATTTTAAAATTATCGGACAATGGAAAAAAAGTGTTTTTTGGTACTTTTCGTAGCTTTTCTTCAATATCTCATGAAAAAATCTCCAAATTAACGTAAGCGACTTACAGCTCGAAGGGTATTGATGTGCCTCTTACCAAAATATATAACTTGTGGCAACTTCAATGAAAATTATTAGTGCTACTGGCGAAAAAAGTGAGATTTTCAATCAAATACGCAGTTTCATTTGATTATTTTTTTCATTATTTAAAAAATTCGATAAAGAAAATATATATCATTACAGTAAACTTTAAGCAAAGATAATGAAAATCGGATTAGAAATGTAGATGCTATGGAGCGCAATCTGCACAAATTATATATTTTTGTAAAGGGCACTTTGTAACTCGTCGTTTACATCGATTCATGGCGTCGATTTTTGACAAATAACTGCGAAAAGTACCAAAAAAACAAAAAAAAGAAGGGTATTATTGTTTTCGTTTTGAACGACTCAAAATTTGCCTATAAAATAATCTTTTAAAGATTTCCACTTTTTGTGTAAGCTATTGTAATTATAATGGCCCGTAGTCATAGTCAAAATAAAGTCGACTTTAAAGTTAGTTGAAGCTTTTTGACATAATTTTCAATGGGATATCTGTCAAAAAAGCTGCAACTAACTTTAAAGTCGACTTTATTTTGACTATGACTACGGGCCAATACATATGTTTAACTATACTTTTATAAATATTCATGTAAAAAAAGATTAATATCAGTGAAGAAAACGTGATTCATTTTTAAAGTTTAAAATGTATTAAGAATTTAGAATCATAAATACTCTTTTGATATTTTTATACTACGTAAATATATGTAGGCATATTTTTGAAAAATTGTCCTTCATTTCTAATCCATATTTATGGTCACCGTACTCATATGCCAAGATCGAGTATGGCCGTGTACATGGCGTATGAGTAACAGTTTTTCTTGCTTACATATATGTATTTAATACAAAAAATATTCGCGCGTTTGACCATTCACAATTTGTTTATTTATCCATTGGTTTTCATCGTCAATGGCTTAACTTTTTGGCAAAAGAACACACTTTCATATAAATGAAAAAATTAAATTACAATAGATTTGTTATCTTTTTAGTTTTTTCCTTGTTAAGGTTTGAATATTTTTACAAAAATGAAAATATCTTGGGGAAATTACCTAATATGGATGCAGATCCATAGTCTACGACCCAATTAAGTTTACGTGTTTCGGCGTTTTTTGTGTCATTTTAAAAACTTGAGATTTTCCCTACAGTGTTATTAATATTTTTTCTTTTTGGACCTAACCCGCAGACCAGTGTGTAATGTTGCAAGCAAACATTTTGCGTATGAAAAAATCGACTTGTCAAATAATCAACATGTAAAGGCATGTACAAATTTATTTTCCAAGATCTTGACCTCATTAACGTAAATACTTCAATCATTCTTGTTGTATGTACAGTCAAAAGTTACACTTTACTATAATATAATATTAGAATATTTTTTTATAAAATATGCAGAGTATTTATCTAAAAGCGTAAATGTCACGTAACTGTGTATACCTCGTAAATACAACCGGTTTTCCATACAAAATTAAGCAAATTTAGGCAGTTTACGTGGTTACGAGGCATTTACACATTTACAGGCCTATTCTGCTTTGGTAACAAAAATTTTGTTACCGGTAAATAAAGTTACTGTCAATTTTTAAACCCTTTTCGCATTCTCCACACTCTTGTAACCGGCAAATTTTGTTACCATCTCATGAGCAGGTAACAAAATATTGCCCCATGAAATATGCAACACCAGAATTTTTGCAAAACTTCATAGCTGAATTGCTGAATAAATTAAAACGTTACCAAGGTAAATAGAATTACGGTTGCAAGTGGTGATTGTTGGTAACAAAATTAGCTTGCTACAAAATCGTCGGTTACAAGCAGAATAGGTCTGTTGATGAATTTCCATATTGTTTCCATTTACAGGTTATCAGTTCGTGGAATTTATTTTTTTTTTTTGTATTTTACCGCATATCTTTGGACCACGTTAACCGATTTCGATAATTCTACTAATGCTAATACTAAATTTTAGCTTTAGATCTGATCATTGGATCATGAAGAAATTAACAGTAATCCTTAATTTGTATGTATATGAGAATTGAAGTCGGTTTTGTTTTTTTGCTTAAAAATTACTTGTTAAGAAAATATTTGCATAAACCAGATAAATCAATATTTCACACTTTATATAAAATTCACGAAAATTCAATAAATTTGCCATTAAATTTTCAAACTTTTTAATAAGAATGTTTAGAATCTTTTCGGGTATGCAGTTTTATAGTCCATCCATTTGCATGTGGCTAAAATTTTCCGTTAATTTTTGATAATTTTTTTCTGCAACTGTGTCGCACTCTTCCTTCCATATAACGCACAAGAAAAATTAATTTTTTACAGTAGCTGAGACTAAGATGTTGATAATTTTTTAAAAACAAATTCGGGCCTATTTTATATGTACAGGAAAAAATGAGCAATGCTTTCAACGAAGAAATTGTCAAAACGCAAGGAAGAAGAAGAGATAGACCCATAAAAAGATATTCCAATAGGCTCAGAAGGATCAGCTGAGTCGATTTCGGCACGTTCCGCTGATATTTTAGTAGTGATGTCATAAACTCCCACCATGAGGCTGCTAAGAAGATGAAATGTTGATTTATTTTCACATTCATGTTACTATAACCTATAACTGATTGTTCAGATATGATGTTTTGCTTTGAAAATTCTTTATTTAGACACTTAAACCGTGAAATTGTGTGAGCTACATATTTACTTATCAGCCATACAAGGTCTACTGACAAAATCATCAAGTGCGGGGCTCCATAAAATGTATCGCTTTATCACTGATTGTTCAGATATGAAGTGTTGTTATAAAATTCATATATTTAAAGGCGATTTCGTTTTGTACAAAAAATGTTGCATTCTCATCGCCCTCTTCTTAGTGTTTGCGCCTAGATGGCAAGGAGATGGTTGCCTTTTTTCGGTAGAAACGAATCCGGCATAAGTAATTAAAATACTTTAACATTTAATATTTTTATGCTAAAAATGTAATAAGTATTCGATTAAAGTTACAATTTATGAAACGTATCACATAGCCAAAGGCAGCACTTAAGGTTCAGTTAGTGTAGACTTAACTTAATTTACGTAAGAATTCGTCCACGTTAACTTAGCCAGAAGCGAAAATATTTTATTTTTGTATTTTCCTTTTCAGCTGAGTTTCACTTTACCGTCTATAAACCTGAGCGCAAAAATATATTGCGTTGGCCAATATATTAGGTTGCGTTACGTAGATTAAGTCTAGACTAACTGAGCCTTTACCTGTTTTCTTATGTAATTTGACTCTTAAATGAAGTTGAAATTCGGTGCAAGATTTTTAACAAAATTGCTTATATTATTATTACGTATCCGCTCCAATTAATTTCCCTTTTGTTACTAAATCGGTGTATCAATAATATCTACATATGTATGTAAATAATAGAACTACGTAACTACATATCTATGAATCAAATATTATGTGTGTATGTGAACTCGAATTTTCGAACACCCTAATACCAAGCTAGCGAGATCGAAAGTCTTAAGAAAGAACTTAACGTAGACAATTCAATCAAAAATTAAATTCAACGAAAATCTTAAACTTCGCACTATTCGATATTATTTGCAAATTTGTTTCACATGTACGTAGATATCATACACAAACACATACATAATTATATATGTAGATGCTTGTCTAATAAATACTAATATTGTATTATAAAGGAAACAACTTTGATTTAACATTTCACTAATTTTGTTTCATTGTCCAACGCTTTGATGTTGATACATATGTAATTAACTTGAAAATTCTAATATGATTGCAATGTTTCACATACATATGTAGACCAAGATAAAATACCTCTGGCCATGATTCAGACAATGCGTAAGCTCAAGTCCGGCTATATTAATGGCACGCGTGTAATGTTGGGTAATCTCAAAGATTTCCTGAATACGTCAGCCATCACAGACCTCAGTTTTTTGGGCAGCACCGAAGATGGCTACCCCGATCGCCTACATCCCGATGTGCAGGCCTATTTGGACGAACATTTGTTGCGCTCATTCAGTCATCGTGGTATGATGAAGCTACACGGAGGCCACCTACGACCGCGCCAGTTACGTAGGCGCATGTCTTGCAAGGGTGCCATTAAAAAGACGCGTTCGATAAATGTCGATTGTAAGTATTAAGTGGCTAGATTTGCAAATACATATCGTTACCTTAAGGCCCTAACTCATTTTCGTTTTCGAACTCAGCTTTGTACAAAAAGACTATAAATGAATCACTTACAATTTATGAAATTGAAAAGGCCATACAGGCGCAACCTACTGAAATTTTGACCTGACAATTTTGGGACTTATTCCTTTTATTAGGGTGTCGCTACCTCTAAAAAATTATACGTCGGAAATAACGTTAGTATTGCTGCTGCATTATTCTTAAGTGAAAAAATAAAACTCAATAATAATTATCTTCTCTGAGCGAAAAAATAAAAGTGCTAAAATAATCATTATTTTTGTTAAAAAAAATACAGATCATCAGTAAGAATAATTTCCTTTGAGCGAAAAAATATAACTCAAACATTAATTAATATTTTTAACCGACTTCAAAAACGGAGACCGTTATCAATTTGTCAGAATATTTTTTTTTTTCTTTATGTACGGTGGCCCCTTACTAATTTGGTTTAGATCTGATAATTGGATCATGAAGAAATTAACGGTAATCTAAAATTTTTGTATGAGAATTGAAGTCGGTTTTGGTTTTTGCTTAAAAATTGCTTGTTAATGTTTATTTGTTAAACTCGAAAAAATAAAAATCATAGAAAATTGGCAGTAGGACATACGGACACACAACTACGTGAGTACAGTTAAAAATGTTTTACAACGATTACAACTTGTTGATTTTTTTGGTTAAAATTTAAGAAATTATGATTATTTTCCATCCCTGCTTGAAACTTTATATATAATTTGAAGATAATTACACCAACATTAATTTAGTTAGATTGCTCTAAAAAAACTGCGTTTTAAAGACATTCACAACTAAAGAACTTAAGTTTTGCCTTAGTTTTTTATTCGCTATGTAAAAAAGAGAACGTTAATTAGGGCCTTTCTATATTAAGATAACGTTTTGTATAGCTAATCCACACACACATAATAACTATCATTTGATGCGAGTATGCATGTGCGTATGTATGTATATTTTAATAGCTGACAACCTGGGCATGGAAGGGCCAACACCATTAATAGAAAGGCGACTTTCTTCGGTGGTGCCACCGCCATGGCTGCAATCAAATAAAGCAAACAATATCAGTGTGTTTGACACAACACCGGAGGAAGGGCCTCCTAATTTGGTAATAGATCCGCTGATTCGCGAAAATATCTACCCCATTGACCCACATCATAATCGCTCGGCTATTGAACGTCGCAGTGAGTTTACAAGACAGCAAGAAAGTTAGTAGTGTGTTTAGTTCAATTAGTTGTGCAGAAAACTGTGAAGAAAGCAATAACTGTAAATTAGTCCAATTGTAATCGAAATGGAAAATGAGACTGGAGTATTGGAGGTTTAATAAAAAGTTATTGCTTTTTCGCAGTTGATAGATATTTAGTCAAATGTGTAATAATTTTATATAAATTTTCGATTTGATTTTTAATTTTTTTTTGTTGTTTACTATTGATTTATTATTGCGCTTTTGCGTTATGATTTGCCGTTTAAATCCTGGTACATTCATCAGTACAAGCTATACCGAAAATTCTCGTTCAACGCCATCGCACGGATACAAATTTCGCTGATACAGAAGTGGAGGAACTGATTGCAATGCTGCGTGAGACGGAAAATCTCGAAGAACAAGGCGACATTTTGCAATACTTGGTCGACACCCAAGGTTTGGACTTCAATACGGGTAAGTTGAAGATACTACTACTATTGAATTGTAAAAATAAGGGACAAATTGCAAACTATGGAAATTGTTCTCGTCCACGTGCACAGCATACATACACACACATACAGATGAATACATACATACATATTATACATATATCTTTGCAAACTAAATACAAAAGGATCACAACTCAAAATTTTTCAATATATATGTACATACATTTAAGCAGTGTTTTTGATCTCCTGAAACTGGTATGATTTTAGAGTTGTGACTTTTGAATTTAGTGTGCGATATGCATATACATACGTAAGTTGGTATACATACATACATATGCACAGTATTTGTAAATACACATAAAATATGGGTGATGGCAAAAAATTTTACGCGAAAAGACATAAAGTTGAAATTGGAATAACTAAAAGAACACACTAAATACACTTTAAATATTCTTATGTACCATGTAAATAATTTCATTCATCGTTATCACAGAACTGTCTTACAGTCTTTTCCACTTCAATTTTTTAATTCGGTAATTGCTTAGTTTTAACATACACATCTCACTCACTGTAAATCTGTGCTTGTAAATTTATTTATACAATATGTATTAATTCGAGCTTCTTCCATTTTTTTATTTTTTTTCAAAATACTTTTTAATAAATAGCTGGCTTAGGTTTGAAGAATAAGGATTCCGGTAAGTCATAACTAAACTTTTTTATAATAAATAATACTAGAACACAGCCATTACTTATTCCGGCACCTTCCCAAAAGCACATTGTAAATTAGATACTCGTATATACATATACATACATATGTATGTATTTATGTATTAATATTCAATTTCCAAATTAAATATCCATACAGACATTATTTTTCCTTCTCTTATAAAATGGCTTAACTAATTATTATAATATATCGTTCGCCTCATGTCAGAAACATGAAAGTGTAAAAATTAAAATTTTGGGAAATCAAGTTGGAAAGCGTTTTCTTATGAGACTTAACTATAATTCGTGTAATTGACATATATACATGGTATTCTGAGTTTTGCTATAACATAGAACATCCAAAGGATAATCAAGACAACCCAATAACTCGAAATTGGTAAATTTGCACATTCATGCAAAAAATCTGGCATAAGGGCATAAGTATGTTTGTGATTCAATAATAAAAGGTTTGCTCAGAAAATAGCTTTCTCGCCGAAATACGTAAACTTAATGTTGGATCGTAGATTACGGCCCTGTATATAGTTTTATAGATCAGGTCATTTTCGCAAAATATTTTCATTTTAAATTTGCGTTGAGAATAAAAAAAAATTGTAAATTCTTTTGATTAAAGCCTGTTCTTTGGCAAAAACATCAAGCTATCAACGGAGAAAATTTATGATTTCATTATTAGATTATATGTACCTGGCGTATGAGTAACATTCTTTCCTACATAGTAGTCTCCGACCGAAGTTGGAATTTTGGCCGAAGCCGAAGCCGAATATTAAAATTAAGTTTCATAAATAAATAATAGGTATAATGTTAGCAGGTCATTAGCAAGCATTATTGCATGCAACTCTAAGAGAAATATAGCTAAAAATTGCCGTTGACTTTTTAGAACGTTTTTTTTTGCGGAGGGTGTTGCGAATTTTCTTCCATATAATGAATAAAACTGACTTTTATATGGAAGAAAATGAGCAACACCCTCCACAAAAAAAAAAAACAAAAAACAAAACCAATTGTAATTTTTAGCGACGTGAAACTTGCACTTTATTGTACTGAAATTGAATGAATGGGCTATAAAACCGCATGCTCGAAATCTTTCTAAGAAAACTAATTAAAAATATCGAACATCGAAAATCGTCGAAAATATGCAGTGCTGCCAAGTTTTTCCGTATTAATACACTAGTCGAGTGGAAATTTTAGGCAATCACGTAACAGTTTCAATACGATTCGACTCTCGAAAGACGACTTGCATTGGGCACGACTCTCGCAATGAGACTGAAAATTTTAGTTATATACGCCCACTCATCCGCAGTCAGTATATTTATAGAACAACTCTCAACAGCAACCATATTAATCGCTGGTTTTTGTTCTAAGCTGTAGCCTTTCCATGATGATAAAGGAACTATTCCATCGAGTTGGAAGATATTGTATAAATTTATGTGTTGGTAAATGTAATAATTCCTGATAGGATTTTAAATATCTGCTGGCTGATTCACTTCTAAAATTTTAACAACTCATGAAATTATGTAACTTCACGACAAATACAACCAGCCGAAGATTAAAAATCAGCCGAATAAGCCGAATACCGAAGCCAGGCCGAACCTTCGGTCGGACACTACTACATAGTCATATTTCATAAAAAAGAAATAATCTTTTATTTTTAAATTTTTTCCCTGTGAAGTATGCATTTTTGCATTCACAATGCAAACTTAAAACGAACATATTTTACGAAAATGAGCAGATCTAGCAAAACGATATACAGTTCCGTAATCTACGACCCAAAATTAAGTTCACGTGTTTCGGCGTTTTTTTGTGTAATTTCAAAACTTGAAATTTTCCTTAAAGCTGATTTTCACTATGTCAAATTCAGTGGCATTTGTCGTCAAATAAGTGAAAACACATTGTCAAATTGGATTAAAAAGCAGTTTATCGATTGGTTTGGATCAGGATAGGTCTTTATTCGTGTACATGCGCTGCTAAATCGGCTATCTGTCTGTTTTTGGCCCATAATATCATCGGTAAAGGTATGGATAAAGAGATAAAGTTGTGTCAAAATAAGTCGCCAAATTTTGGCGTCAAAATATGACATAGTGAAAACCAGTCTTTAGAGTGTTATTGAATCATGGACGATATGTAAATATAACTTTTCTAATATTTGGGATAGACAAGCTCAAAGAATAAAAGATGATTTTCCGCTTTCATACATATGTACACTGGCGATCAAAACCGAGTGCATGTACGACCTTTTATTACTTACAGTAACATAACTTGTTTAAAAATAAGCGGATTGCTTTGAAATTTTTAGAAATTGGAGCTTATTATCTAAGGAATAAATTCTTGTATACAGCAAAAACTAAACTTACAAATTTTTAAAAATTAATTTTTATTGAGCTTGAGGCCGTTTTTTAATGAAAACTTATTGTGGAAAAGCAACAATAATTTGAAAAAATTGTAGAAGTGATAGCTATTTCGGAAATCACCACATTTCCTCATCAGACTTCTTTCAGTAGGATTCGAACCGACGACCCCACTGACTCAGCCAGTTGCTTACGCACTGTGCTACGCAAGGCAACTCTATTCACTCAGTTTTGAACTTTTCTGTTTTCAGATCTTAGGAGGTTGATATCGAGAGGATTGTGGAGACTCCCTTGTTTATGAAAGCGATATTCATACGTCTGGGAATGCTCTCTACTGAGTTTTCTATGATTTCTAATGGAATATTACCCCATTATAATCTTACTCGCCTCCAAAGCTCTTCCATGTTACTAGGTGCTCGCTTGTGCTATGTTAATCCGTTCTCGACCACAGCGCTCAATTTTTCGATGACGTTGAGGTCTGGGATTTGTGCTGGCCACTTACGTGAAAATTTTGATCAAAGTCGTGGCTGCCAGCCGAATAGGATCTGAATATTGTTTTTTTTTTTTTAAGCACCCCGTTTTTTATAAGCCATTGAATAACAGATAGTTACGTAATTCTTATTTTATTAAAGGTCAGACCTATAGTTTTTTAATTATTTGAGCATTGGTTCTCTTTATAGCTAGTTGTTGATTATTTCTACTGGAAATCCCTATTGAAGGAGCTTACTCATTGACTTTAAATAGCAAAGAAGGGACAGTTTTACCACAGAAGTTTTTAGCCAAGGTTCCAATGTATATTCCTATGCAAAAAAATATTATCCAACAAGTAAACAAAACTACTGTTTTTAAAATTTTAGCTAAAAATAAATTCCCCAAAGAGCCCCATTTGAAACTATTCGAACGAATATATATAATAGGTGGCATACGCGGTACGTCTGACTCGCGAGTCATTTGTGCACGTGTTGACTCACGTTCGACTACACACAGTTGAATCATTCAGAGTCATGCCGGGAGTCATGTTGGTGTAACTAACACATATTTATTTTCACAAACACATCCAAACCGACTCACGAGTCAGACGCACCGTGTATGCCGCCCATAACATCAAAAGCAAATCACGAAAATTTTGTTAAGAATTACAGTGCACACTTTCTTCTTTTGTGTCTAGTAGTTTTTTTTTAAGATTGGTCCAAAAAAATCATAATAAAGAAAGAAGCCAAAGCAGGTATTTAAAGCACAAAAAAAATATTATTAAAAGGACTATGTTCTCTTTGACGTATGTACGTCAAAGGTCAAGTAGAAGTGGAAACTTTTATGGCTGCCCATTGATGGCTCGGTGATATAGCTTAAGAAATATTTTTTTAAAGACATTTTTATCAAAGTTGATAACATTTGACCAGTTTTGTTACACAAATACTCCTACGACCACGGGAAAAAATATTGGCTACAATATGTATATTTTTTTTTTGCCATATATGCGTTTTATCGGTCCACTTGCAAAATATTCGCATTCGCAAAAGCTCCGCATTGATTATTGCGAATGCGAAAGCGAATGCGAATATTCGCAACCACCCTGGTACATACATACATATGTACAAGTATATCTTACATATGTTTGTACATACACACGAATATACATATGTACATACATGTACATATGTAGTTTGAAATAATTTTATTTCTTCACTGAAAGCTGATTTTGGGACCGGCGGCAGCGGCAAAATTAAAACAAGAAATCTATTCTCGTCGAACTTCGTCAGATGAACTTCGTCGTTGCTTTGGTTGTGTGCAATCTCATATACCAAAATTCCTTCCGACGAAGTTCGCTCAGCGAATGGATTCTGTTTATATTTTTATAAAAAGAAGCTCGTTTGTCAGTTTTACGGTAAAAAAGCCTTTTTTTAAAGAAAACTATGTATACAGTCAGTCAATAAAGTTTAGGTACAGCGCATTTTTTACAATACCGGCAACTATTTTGTAAATATTTTATTTTTCGCAAATTTTTTATAAAAATATGGTTCATTCTACAACAAAAACCTGAAGAATTAGAGTTCCAAACCTTGTGCAAAATTAAAGGAAATTCTGGAAAATTTCACTCAAATATTGCACTTTTTATTTATGCTCTCTAGAAAAAAGTTTACTATGCAGTTTTATAGCCCATTCAATTTTAGTATAATTAAGTGCAAGTTTGAGGTAGCTAGAACTTACCATTTAGCGAAAATTAGCGAAAAATAAAATATTTAGAAAAAAGTTGGCCGTATTGTAAAAAATTCGCTGTACCTAAACTTCATTGACTGTATACATATTTTTTTTATTTTAGTTTCATTTAAGGCACATTGAACAGGTAGTATACCAGTACCGCAGCTGATTAGATTTTTTTAAATTATTTGGTCTCAAAAATGTAAAATATTTTTAATTTCTTCTCACAAAAATTATAAATTTCAAAATCTTTTTGAATGTGAAACCTTTCCCATACACAACAAGCGATGGAAAAGCAAAAATGTTCTATGGATGCCACTATCCAATTCCTATGTAGAATTCCCTGGTGATTCCGAAAATCGAGATCATTTTTTTTTATTGATACCTTTTCAGCTTTTAAAAATAGTGGTTTCACTTAATCACGTATATCT